CTACCAAGATTTTTAAGGTTGGACGACGTCGGTCCGAAACGCAGCACGTATAATCATACCTACTTGGCATGCACGAGAGAGCGCCGCGGTCCTTTCTTTGTCTGAACGTGGCAGACAAATCATTGACAACAGTAGTAACAGTTCGTCTCCACTCGTCATTGAAACCGAATCAATCAAGGGCATTCCATGATGTCCGAAGGCACCATCACATACGGGAGTGACCCGAGCAAAAACAGAAACAAAGTCCCCCCGGAATGCGTAGCGCTAGAGATATATACTCGGTCTGTACCTGTCCCCTTCCCCTTGGCAAAAGGAATAAGCCACCACCTCCCCACCGAAAGATGAGGCAACCAATCGTGTCTTGCGTAGCCCACAAACGTCAGGGGGGACATTTCATTTACTAAGGGTACCTGAGTATTTTCGTGCCAGGGGGTAGATATGAGAGGGGCGGCAACGTTCGCCTACTATGTATGATGCATATAGGTCATGACATCTACGCAAAACACAACATCTCCGTCATGGACGCCGTTCACATTTTCCAAAACCGTTTTCTTCGTCAACAGACCACAAAAAAAAAGCGAGACACAGAGGCCACCATGCACATCGGTGTACAGTTAGTTCGGTTGGTGAAGCGCGACTAGAAGAAAGACCTTTCTTTATCTCTCCCAGTCCGCCAGACAGATTGATTCAATACTTCCTCTGTATCATAAGTCTGGTCCGTTATGTGCGCGTAGTCGTAAGGGTACTTACACGTTGACGTTTAGCCTTTAGCCGGGTGCGTTAGAAAGGCAAAGCACATACCAAGCTGACTAAAAAAATATAAAAAAATCGAAGACCGTGTAAAGCACTAAAACTAGGTCAAAATATGCCCATTTTGGCCCGTTTTGAGAATTTTTACGAGAACGTTTTTGAGATTTTTTTCGATAATTCTTTGAGAATTCGTGAGATAAGTCGTGATTACCACCCCCCACACACTATACAAACGATGGATGACCCTAACCCTAACCCTTGTACGACAAGGAGGCTTTCGAGAGGGCTCACGCCTGGATGGCATCGAGTCCCAGCGACGGCGAGGACGACTAGTCGACATTTTTCCCCCCGACACCAACAGACACTTTTTTTTTACCCGCAAGTGTCTTGGCTTTAGTGTGGGATCCCCAAGTGTCTTGGTTTTAATGTGGAACCCCAAGTGTCTTAGTTTTGGTGTGGGGTCACTACTATATTGGTATGAGTATAGGGGGACGCGACGTAGATCGTTGAGTAGAGGGGGGGGGGGTTCGGGCCCTATTCTGTTGTTTTTTTGCCCCGCAAGTGTAATGGTTTTAGTGTGGGATCCCCAAGTGTCTTGGTTCTAGTGTGGGACCCCAAAGTGTCTTGAATTTAGTGTGTCGTTCACTATTATTATGATTTTAGTATGGGGGACGTGTTATGGATGGTTGAGTCTAGGCGGGGGTTAGCTTTAGGGTTGGGGATAATTCTTGTGTTTTTTTGGGGGGGTTTAGGCTCATGCCCCACGTACCCCACCCCCCGGAAAAGGGCAAAATATGGCCGTTTTTGGGCCGACTCAAAGTTTTCCGGCCGTTTGGTCGCATGGTTCAAGTACCAGCTTAAAAAAAAAAAAATGTTTTCTTGCTAAAAAACGCCGTAGAATTCAACAAAAAAAACGAAAAACAGATCGGACACCGTTAAGGCGGCGTATAAACCTAACGGACCAGACTTATGATACAGAGGAAGTACATGTTTAAAAAAAAACCACTTGTACTTAGGTACTTGTGGGCTGAACGCCAAAAAACGCAAAGCATTGGCGATGACAACACGCCCTGATACATACAGAAGGAAATATCCAACTACCCCCAGCAACCAACAGCTTGCTACGACAACACTTACTTACGTTGCGGCTCAGTATCTGTATCGCCTGCTGCTGGTATCGGCGGTCAGCAACGCCGGCATCTCAAACGCCGAACAACAAGCCTACGAAATACTACTATAATACCAAGGTCTAAGATAGAGAGAGAGAGAGAGCGGCGTTCACATGAACACAGCCATACCCCACACGACCGTGCACACAAAAACGTCACCCCCATGTCGCGATCGCCCCAAGAAAGAGGGAAAAAAAGCGGAACGAACGGTGTTCGCTCAAAATATAGTTCTCACTCACTCACGTGGTTATTATGAGAAAGAGAGACAAACCGAACGAACGGCATATTACATAGTTCAAAATGTCACGCTTACTACGTGGTGGTTGCTGTAAGCACTCCCCACTTTTGACCGGTTGTTGTCTCAGCACAGACGGTATGCATAGATAGACAAAGACGGTGACTCCAGGCTAAAAATGCAGTGGAGGCAGCAGGAGTATCACGAGGTGATGATGTTCCCAAAGACGGCCGCCCGCCTGCATTGTAACAAGAAGAAGAGTGGATTTCACCGCTCGTCGTACGACGCATCTATCTTCCCAATCACGTACTAATAGAAGTAAAAGATAACTACGACCCTACTACTTCCCTCGCCGGTTGACTTCCGACACACAACAAGCAATTTCTTACCCGCATCCCACTCTACGTAACTCTCTTTTCTAACTCATTATCTCATTCATTCCTCAGCCCACCACTTCATCCCACGCATGCTGCGAATATTTTCTTTGCCGAAATATCCGCTCTCTCCCCGAAACACGCTATGTCCCCCCACACGCACAACACCACCAGCATGCGCCAAGTGTTTTCAAGACGCTTGGTTTTCCTGGCGTTATTCCCCCCCCGATCGTGGTCCTGTGGGAAAATGCTTCGTCCTCTTCGAGAACGCGCGGTGAACGCTCTAACAGCAGCTCGGAAAGACAAATTAGTAAACCCCCCATTTGGCCATCGGTGATGATCGGTCCTGTGGGAACAATGCTCCGTCCTCTCGAGGACGCGTTGTCATTGGTCTAACTGCTAAGGCGTGCAAATTACAAGAGTGCGCCCCCCCCCCCCCCCCCCCCCCCCCAGAGG